AATTGCCTTTAGTGTTTTCTTTTCTTTTGTGTTAGCATCCTCTTCTTCAATTATGGACATTCACTTTTGAGATACCCTAGCTTTTTGCATTTGTAGCAAGTTATTATGTTCTTTTTAAGTTTATTCTTATTCTTTGATTCTTGTTTTATGAACTTTTTAAATTTTATTGTGAGGAGTTCAAAGTCAGTATCATCATTTGAGCTTTCACTCGAATGGTCTTCCTTTGTTCCAAGTATCATATCCTTCCTGTTCTTTAGAATGTTGTTATCACATTTATCATGTGTTTTAAAAGATATTTTATATGTGACCTTATGAGTTCTTCAAGAGGAAAAACAGTTTAAGTCATTTGCTTCTTGGATAGTAGTTACTTTTAGATCTCAATTTTTAGGAAGAGATTGTAAAATTTTATTAACAAGTTCAAGGTTAGAATTTTTTACTAAGTGCTTTCAAACCATTAACAACATCCATAAAACAGGTATACATGTCTCCAATGGTTTCGCTTTGTTTCCTTCAAAACAATTCAAAACTATGTATTAAAAAAATTTTAGATTCTTTAACTCTACTTGTACCTTCATATGTAATTTCAGGAGTGTGTCAAATGTCATGTGCAGTTTCACATATCGAAATATGATTAAACTCATTTTTATCAAAAATACAAAACAAAGCATTCATAGCTTTAGCATTTAATGAAAACGATTTTTTTTCAACATCATTCCATTCATTCATAGGTTTAGAGGGTGTTTGAAAACCATATTCGATAATATTCCATAACTTAAAGTTCATAGAAAGTAAGAAAACTCTCATTCATGTTTTTCGTATAGTCTGTCCCATTAAACATAGGAGGACGAGTGATAGAGTAACCCTCTAAATTATCGATAAAAATCATTCTCTTAGGTGTTAAACTAATCAAAATAAATTTGGCTTTGATACCAACTATTATGACCGTTTCAGCACTGAGAGGATGGGTAAATTAGTGCTTTCAATAAAATGTTAGTTTGAAAAATTTTATTCAATAAAACCTATATCAAAAAAATATTTAATTTAAAAATATTCTTTAGAGTAATGAGCAAGTAAATCAGTTTATAATATGAATAAAAAGCATGAAAGAAATGCAAATCGATTTTATAGTGGTTCGATTGTTCCGACCTACGTCCACTCCTAATTCTTCTTCCGTCGAAGCCACCAGTTTTCACCGTCGATCTTCTTTCAATAGGTGAAGATCAACTACCCTCTTATAATTCTTTCTTCTTTTCACGGGCTCAGGAGAGAACATTTACATCTTTCTCTTTTAAAATTGTACCTCACTCCCCCTTTAGAAAACTTCTAACTCTATGAGGAAGAGACTCACTATCTCAAGAGAGATTATAACTCTTTTTTCTCAAGTATACTTTCCCTTTTCTACTATATTTCTTGCTTACCCAAGCAGGAATAACTTGGGTATATATAGACCCCAAATGACTTCAAAAAGTGAAGTCAAAATTCAAATCCTCAGGATTTCGAGGTATTAGCGGTACCACAACCTGTGCTGGGTGGTACCACCACCTGCAGCACTTATATTTGATGGTACCATCACTTGCAGCACTGACACTAGGTGGTATCACTGCCTGATATTGGTGGTACTATCATTTGACACAGTCAGGGAGATTATGTTGTGCTACCACCTGTAACACTTACACTGGATGGTACCATCGCTTACAACACTAACACTGAATGGTACCATCGCCTAATATTGGCGGTACCACCGCTTGACGTAGTTTGGGAGATTATGTCTGGGTGGTACCACCACTTGCTTTGACGGTGTTACCACTTGACCTATATATGAGTTACTAAATGAGCCTCCCAATAGGCCCAACTCATTCCCAAATCAGGCCCAATGGGCCCCTAATTGAGTTAGCTTGGTTATACCAGAAACTAACTCAATTATGACCTAATCTACTTTGATCAAGACATAACCGATTACAAACACCAATCCTATATTGTCTAGCATGTCATTGGTTCAACCGGCGCTTCGTCTGAACCTTCGATGCTTCGTCCAATCCTTCGGCACTTCGTCTGATCTTTTGGCACATCATCCTCTCCTTCGGCGTATTGCCCGATCCATTGATATGTTAACCTCCCATATCATTCGATCTTCTTGGCGCAATGTCCGATCCTTCTAGCCCGATGCCCAAACTCATAGCATGAAGCCCTTCCGGAATGTCGACCAATCCTCCAGTCTGACATCTAATCTTCTGATATGATCCACTCCAGCCTAACGTTTGATTCTTCCTACTTCAATCAATTTATCTTTCTATGATCGAAGTTAGTCCTACGTCACTAAAATACTGATTAGCTTATAACTTCATAAATTGATTTCATCATCAAAATCCGAGATTCAACAAGATGCATAGTTATCATCTTTAGAGAGTTTGAAGAGGATTAGAGTTACTACATTAATAGATATAAATTCTGTAAGTTGAGATGAACTATGATTTCCTTAAGGAAACAATAATTGAAGCATTAGATACAAAGAAGGAAGACATGCTAAGAAGATATTATGATCTAATAATAGATATTTAAAACCAACTAATGATCTTGTTTGGATGCACAAATGGTAAAGATCTAATATGTTAGAGGAGATTAGATTTGAAAAATGCATAGGAGGGAATCCAATCTAATGGAGGATATCATATTTGAGATGTGTAGAAAAGGATAATATCTTTCTTCCTTTCCTAAGTCCTTCTCTCGATCGCGAGTGCTCACGGTGCGACCGAGAGGATGGTGAAAGGTTATGAACTAAGAAGTCGATCATAGATCCAAAGCGTTAGTGAGTTCGACAGTTGATGGGAAGGAGATGAAGATGTCGATAAGGATACTAGGTAGTAGGTGTTGGTGTTGGTGTAGGAGCAAGGGGAATGCTCGTTAAACAAAACTGAATAATGATGGAGGATCGTCAAAGAAGCATGTTGGTCACTACATGAGCTTAATTTGATTAGCAAAACGGAGTAGATTTACTACAGAGCAAATCATGCTAGGAGATCGATACGGAGGAGACACACATCTTCGTCTTCGGTGCAACATTAGAACTTGAAAGCGGGAAACGTAAATTGAGAGTTATAAAACAACAACAGGGAAGACAAGGGAGAGGAATAACAGTTGCTACAGATCAAAAGGCAACGAGTAAGAAAGAGCGAGAAAAAGATAACCTTGCTTGAAGCAAGAAGACTATGATATCATCAAGAATTAAAAATTTTATTATGAAAGGATTCATTGAGGTAGTGTCTATTTATACAAGTTTTGTGGAAAAAAAAATCTTAATCATGCACTTAAATCATAAATTAACTAAGATTTAAAAATATAAAATTGTTATTATATATTTACTTCAAATTAGGATGTTCCATCATATTGTTCATTATCACCCATTTATTTCCACCTTTGGTGGGCATCGAATTTTTAGTGCACATGGATAAGGAATCCGAAACCGCACATAGTCTTATTGTGTCGCCAGCTTCAAAGTAAAGATCTCAGCAGCGCTGTATATATAAATAGTCGATACACGGACTCCCGTTTGCATCATCGTTGCGAGGACTGCAGAAAGACGAGAGATGGGTGGTCTCTGCTCCAGCCAGTCCACCGCCAAGGAAGGCGAGTCCGCCGTCATCGCGGTCCACTCCGCCGCCGTCATCGCGGTCCACTCCGCCGGGGAATGGGCCCCGAAGTGGCAGTCCCACACCCAATCCGACAAGCTGGTATATCTGTCGTTGGTCAAGACCACGTCATCCTCTAATCTAACCGGCAGACGTCGTTTAATTTGATCTCTTTGTTTCCGAAGATGATCATAGACTTCGCCGCTTCCTGGTGCGGGCCGTGCCGCTCCATCGAGCCGGCGATCAAGGAGATGTCCGCCCGGTTCACCAACGCCGTGTTCCTCAAGGTCGACGTCGACGACCTCCCGGTGATGCGTCATCCTTCCCCACTCATGTTAAAAGTTTTTGGAGGATGCGGTCCTTGATTCGTTCGTGACAATACAGGAGGTGCCGACGTTCGTACTGGTGAAGAGAGGGCAGGAGGTGGGGCGCATCGTCGGGACGAAGAAGGACAAGCTCCAGAGGACGATCCAGCGGCATCTCAACATGTGAAGTCGCGCTATCTTTCTGTTGCTCGTATCAAAAACTAATCGTCTGAATTAATGAAAACAAACGTTAACGGCCTTTCCAACCGTGCTTAGTTGTTGGACTCGAGCCAACAACAATTAGTTGTACGTGAAAACCTGGATTGCCATCGGTGCAGGTTCCCTTGGGAATTAAGCTGATTTCTTTAGCCTTGTCATGCAAGCGCAGAAGAAATTTCTAGAGTTTTTCCATGCAATTACTTAATAAATACGAGATCATGAAAGAAAACTAAAAATTCCCAAGTGGTACAATGGAACAAGGGAAAGTAATGGATTGTGATCGAAGCACGCAATGTATTGATTCTGCAAGAAGCAACCATGCGCATGGAGTACCAAAAAAGAAAGAGTGACCGACATCATGTTGCTCTAGATTTTATTCCCAGGTGGTAACGAGGAGAAAACAGTGGGTATGCCACGGAAAAAGGATTTTGAGCAAGGTAAGGCGTCCTAGGAATCGATTCTATGCGTTGATGAATGAAGTCCTCACGATGAGATATTCTAGTGGACCTTTACAGACCACTCCTCGATAGGTCAAAATCAATTGAAGATGCCTAAAGGCCTGTGATCAATTGAATGCATGTTTCGAATTCCTCAGTTATCAATTCCTACCCGCGAGGAGTTGTACCTTTAAATAACAATTGACCCAAAGGCATAAGCCTATGCTAAAATTAAAACCCAAATTTGGACCACTAATGCTTATCTCAATGTTCAAGCAAATTGTAAGGGGCAACTCAAACATCAAGATCTTTTTTAAGAGATGGCACAAAAAATTTTCAATCAGAAAATTCATCCAAGAACAACCAACCACACAAAGAATGGGATAGCATGTGTTTCAGTACAAAAGAATGAATTGAATTGGATAATTTGGTTCGATTGAATTGTACCTTTTAAGCTATCTAAAAATCGCACAATTTACATGTATCAGGTGATAATAAGAAGGTTATTTTCATGTCCATTGTTGTGCACAAGGGGCCGCAGTGGGTCGATTTTCCAGACACCATCAACAATAAACTTGATCTGCACCACCGGAAAATTTGTGTTTGTTTTTATGAGAATGATGAGAAAACTTCACCGAGTAATAAATTGACTGCTAACCTCGTATCTGCCAGGATACAACTTTAGGTACAAGGAAAAGATTCCCCAGCCTGAACTTTCCATCCTTCTCTGCATGATAACATAGCCACTCTCAGTTTTGGCTACATACGTAGGTGTATAAACAAAAACACTGAAGGCAAACAAGTACTGGTAATTAACAAAGATATAAGCAGAAACCCAGCACCCACAAGATCTTGAGCATCGCATGATATGCTTAAAGCTAAGATTCGTTTGAAATAATAGATTCCCACCTGCACCATTCAGCCAATTTCAAATATGGTGCTAGACTGCTAGGTCCAAAAGATTCCTTATGTATAGTAACTTGAATCAATAGAAGCAGAGCCGAAAGCAGTCCGATGCTAAAGTCGAACCACTCAAAATTGATCATTCGCTCTGTGGAAAGCCACAACCGGCACAGCCCTTTCTCAAGCCACTATAGCACAACCACATGAATCCATGTCAGACACATCAACATGGATCCATGTAAATTCCATCAACTTGAAGACTGACTGCACATCATATTTTAACTTGTCTGTTAGTGGATTGAACTCGAAGAGCCCATCAGCACTAAGTCAATATGGAGAAACCCTTTATCAAATAATAGAAGCAATTAGTACATCCAGATTATTGATTAAATCTTGTTAGGTTGGGTTTGAGTTTAGTCAGAGTTTACGCTCAAATTCTTTCTGATTTAGAAAATAAACCAAATTATATAGTCTTTGGAGCTGTTTGCATCAATTTCTATTTGTATGTGTTTCGAGCTTCAGGTTTCATCAGGTCCAATACCTTTCATTATTGGTTTGGGATGCTAGTTATAACAGCAAAAGCTACTATGGTACTACAGAAATGTTATGTTACATTTCAAACTAAATTATCTTTGCAATATTTTGCCAGCCAAACCTTTCTTTATTGATCCAGCTCAGATAGATTGAACAGCAAAACACCAGCTTCAAGAGTCCGTTTCAGATCCAAATCCTGGAACGGCAGCTGCCAAAAAAAAGAATGACACCTAACAATTACTGGATCACTCCCACATATTTCCAGGCTGAATCAAGGCAAATCATCGAATCTTGACTCCAATAATTACTCTCCTATAGTCCACATATGATAGGACCTTCGACTATCAATATATGTGTGTGTTGTGTTATCCATCTTAATAGAAATTATGAGTTTCTCTTAAGATAAGGTCTAGACTTCTCTCACTGTGTCCTCTCTTAATTTTGCGGTTCACTTAAGATATTCAAAATAATGTTTCGTATACTCAAAAAAAGAAATATAAAATCAAGTCTAAATTATTAATATATATATATGACAGGATAAGAACAAAAATTTAAAGGATGGCAATTACACACATTTGAGTAATAAGTAATGAGTTACAGTCCAAGATCTAAATGTTATAGTATCATGGGTCATTGCAATAGGATCAAAATGATAATAATTGAAAATTACTAAAAAAGAAATACAACCCTCATACGAGATAAATGGAGCACGTTTGCATGTTAGCTTCACATATACAATAATAACACAAATTAGGGCCACATATACGACTCTATGAAGTGTATTTTGCAAGATGTTTTGTGATTGATTCATTGTTTTGGATACAGCCACATACATAAAGAACAGCAGACTGGGGCTTAAACATCTTGAGTCATGCTGACTAATCTAGCTATTTTGAAGTTATTAGGCAAGTAGGTGCTGAAGTTTTGATGTAGTCCACATTCCACAACCACATCTGAATACAAACAATAGTGTTGTAGAAAAAGCAAAATGATAGCATTGGATAATAACATAATAATATCATGCTTTAACTCATCATGTTTCAAGACATAGTTCCAAGGGAGGTCACCAAACATAAGTTATAACTATCAAGTTTCAAGACAAGTCATCAGATTCCAAGCAACTAAGTTTCTAGGCACCATGAATTAATAGCAATTTGTAACTTGGGGTCATTAATTGGGTTGCTGAAAGCTTAAATAATTATTTAGGTAGGTGATGGTGGAGATATTTAATGTACAAATCATCTTAAAAGGAAAAGAGAAAAGAAGCTTGGAAGCAACCTTTGAATTAGTCATATATTCTAATTGAGCTTCTAGCTCTTAGTTATCCCAAAGAATGAAAAAGAGTTAATCTTTGCCTTATCCCAAATACTGCCTCACCTCTTTTTCTTTCACATCAAGTTATAACAAACCAGATGTTTCCGAGTTCAGCAAAGTTTTTAAATGTTCATGCGTTGCTCAATAATAATGACAGCAAAAATAAGTGCAACTATATAAACAAAGATTCATGGTACTGATAAAAAATTCCCATGTCCAACTAACCACCACTCAAAAATTTCAACCGATCTCTGACGATGAATATCTAAACAAAAAGATGAACAAAATACAACTCACAAACCTATGAACTATTTACAAGAAAACAATCTGCCAAAAGAAATAGACTGAATGCACAAATAATAAAACATCAATGTTAACATAGAACTTGTAGATAAAATAAACAACATAAGAAAAACAAACCTGACTATTCCATCCATCAAAGGATCCAGCCAGTAAAACCTCTGAAGCAGAATTAGGCCAAACTATGCAAACCGTCTGTAGAAGGCTTAGAGCATTTTGAGCAGCATCAACTCTTTTCTTTTTCTCTTCCATTAATTTCTTTGCTTCTCTGTAAGATATATAGTTATGATCCTTACAAAATATAATAAGATTAATATTCAGGAAGACTACAAGCTCAAGCTGAGAGCATTAGATACATGATCTCAAGTGCCATCTTTCCTTCAAGTGCTGCCATTCTTGCCCGAGTAGACCTTAGCTTATCCTGGGCACTGACTATTTCAGTCTCTTGAAATTCCCATGCATCAGAGAGACTATGCAATTCATCTGTTGAAATTTGTTGGCCCTGAATGACCATAATATGAATGAGGATACTTGAACGCAAAACAAAATGAAATGGGTAAACAGACCAACAAAAGGCAAAAAAAAAATGTACACTTGCCATGATCGTTCACCAACTAAAGTAAAAACAGAAACTCCAAAAGCATACTTCAAAAATTCAGTCAGCAACTCAGTGCAGAACAGCTAATCAATATCTAAAAACTAGTTTAACAAATTGAAATTTTCACCAAGAAAATTATTTTGGGATGTCATCAGAAGTTTATAACTAAGGATACATAATTGGAAATGCAAATATAGAACAAAAAAACTCATTGTGCAACTAGAACTCTACCAAATTACTATATATTTATGAAGAAGGAAATACAAAATTACACATGATGAGGTGGTTTCATACATTGATTAAAACAGTAATATAATTCATACTGAAAAATTGCTCAAAACATACTTTAGCTTTAATCTAGAAACTCTAAGAAAGAATCATACTTTATTATTGGATCTTCCTTCTTGTATCTGGGGCCTATAAACAAAGGAAAACGATTGTAATGGAGACACCAGATATTGAATAAATGAGTTTCTTCCTCCACGATATGTATGGGTGGTGTGAGGTCACAACCATTCTCTTGTTCAAAGGATGAGTGAAACCAAGAAGTTGTTTATTTCTCACATTCCTCTTCTCTCTTCCCAAAATATCATACCACCTAAACGTCACCATGGCAAAATCCGTAAAATCTCAAACTCAATAGTGTCATAGCCTTTCCTTTGAACCCACATGATACATCAAACCCCAAACTACTGAGAACTGAATGTTGATGGAGCTATCCGCATGGGAGACTAATGGATCAACCTCACAAGCAAGTCAAGTTAGTCAAGAAGGGTAGATCACTGTCTTTCCCTCTCCTCAAAACTGGTATGTGTTTGAATTAGCACGTATTGTTCTTTAATTGCTTGAATTGAGATTTTTGTGAATCCAACATTGTTTGAATTAGAATGTGCTCATTGTTGTTCAATGTTTTCAATAGGCTGTCTAGCACTGGCCTAGGCACCCAGACGAGATGAGGTGGGTGAGGCCCGAGCACCTTGAAGAGTGTCTGAGTAAGTTGATTCAAAGAGGCACGTCCCCAAAGCATGCCTAAGCTAGGCGCTAGGCAACTTGGACATGCGCTTGAGCCAAATGAAGGTTGGGTTAGCTTGAGACTCTCAAATTGGATTAGTTAGTTCAATCGAACCAACTAATTCTGTTATCGTACACCGTTGCACCCAACCCTTTCTTCCAATGGAAGAAACCCTACACCATCGGTTGCCCTCTTCCTTTGTCTTACTCCATCGACTATGACCTTCCTCCGACCTACGTTGCCACCATGTACTGCTTCGTTCCTCTGCCATATGTCATCACCTTACACCGTTAATTACCACCTTCCCTCACTCTAGGCACCACCGTAGCTGCACAAACCTTGCTTGAGCCAAATACCACAAACTTCTTTTACCATGCTTTGCTGCCTTCCTCTGCCAAGGTGCCATACTCTGCTGCCTTCTCTATCTCTTCCTCTATCTCCTTTTAAGTCTATATATAACAGTAGAACTTGAGCACTTTGTTAAATTGTTAGGAACTTATGATCTCTGCAAATGATCTCCTATTTCCTACAATTGATCGACTCATTGAACACTATGTTGGGAACACAGTTAGGTAGGTACACTGTTTGGAGTTAGGACATAACAGTATACTGTTAGGCAGGTAATAGTAACACTGCAACTTTGATCTCTGCCCCTATTTTCTGCAAATAATATCAGCTCGAGCCTTGAGAACTTCAAGGTGTCATTTTTATTTTCATAATCATATTCATCAATTATGATATATATTTTAAATTTTAATATTCAAGACCGTCTCGCTTCGCTCAAGCAAGCTGTCTCGGGCATTTTGGCACCGTTGTTGCTATATAATGTGTTCATTGTTCTCATCAAAACTATCACATATATTCATATTCTTAAGTTGAAAGGAAGAAGTTCTTTTCATCAAAAGGCTGCAATTGCTTGGTTTTGCACTCTACAATAAAAAGTGGAATGCCACTGGTTCCAACAAATATAAGGTAGTAAGGTACACTATGTAACATCAACAAAAAAGAGCTCAATTTACTTGATGCACCAGGCAACATGACAATATGATTATAACAAGCTATCCTTGACCAATGGCATAATTCATGCTTTAATGGGGCCCAATACCAATATGATACACCTGATTTACATTGGTATTAACCAAGCCCAATCCAGTTTCATATGATTTCTTGGTTGTATGGATAAAAAATAATGAGAAATGGCTGGAATCAACTAAACTCAAAATGATTGGGATGAATTTGGCAAATTTTAGCCAACTTCATAGCCTCGGAAAAAGAAAGGAAAGAGAACGATCTAGAGAAAATACCAAAATATTATGACCATGTGAATTACAAGAGAAAATAGGTACTGTCTGCTTTTTGTTATGACCATTGTATTTACCATCTATCACCTTTGTTGCAAAATCAAATATCCATCGACAAGGTAGAGAACAAAGAGAGAATAAAGTTTAGTCTCATAAGAAAAAAGGGGTACTATGATGAGGAATGTAGAAATCCTTTTTATTTGTCTTTTGAATTATCCTATACCTTCCCTACAGAGTGATTAGAGAAGTGTTAGGCTAGAATGAGGCTTATCGCAACCTTTAAAGCTATAGGTTTATAAGTTTGCAACTTTCTATTTTGTATGGTGAACATATTAGTTATGTACTGTAACAATATCTATATACCCTATGATCAATATTTATTTTCTAAGAAGCATATACTATTATTTGATAGGTTATTCTCTGTTAACATTAATTATTATTTTTATCTATTTTATCTTTTAAATTTCAGATTATTTTTTTGTAAAAAGAATGAAATCTTTTAGTATAATGTATTTTCTACTTTCATGAGTCTTATTTTATGGAATTTTTATTTTTTGAATTTTATTTTTAAAATACTTTGTAGGCTGACTCTAACACCGGCAAACAAATTCAGCCAATCCTGATGATATAGTCCTAGACAATCCCAATCTCAGTAATCATCCTACATGCCATGATCATCAGTCATATTTATCATAATTATTAGATGATATATCAAAGTAACTGGCTAACTGCACCATATAATTAAATATTATGTTAAATCATGATATCATGTTGTGAAAAATTAAAAAATAAATTAAAGAAATGGTGAATACAAACTGCCGGTAAATGTAGTTTACCTACTTATCATAATTTATAAATAAGACTAGAACAAGAACATTAAAAAAATACATAGGTTTTTTTTCTATGCATATCACATCATTGTAAGAATTGGAACAACATAGAGTGCTTGTGCAGGTGATGTATAGAAAATGGCAGAAAATAGATTCAATAAAATATCAAGCTAGACATCTATGTGCACATGATTACATAATAATCTCTTAATGCTTAGAATAGTTCTGCAACATATTTCATAGTATGTGGTCCATCTTATGCTCAGAAGTGCTATTCTTAGATATTTTAGTACTTTCATTAAAAATAAAAATATATTTCATATTATGTGGTCCATCTTAAAACCAGAAGTTCCTTTTTGAAAAATTTATTTTTTTATTAAAAAGGAAAGTTCCAACATTAATATCCATAAATTTGCAACATATAGCCAAACAAAGAGAGAAACAAATTATATACCTTCCCTGCAGTGACAGCATCGGCTCTGGATGTCAGTAAGTGTAATGCAGAGGCCAAATCTGACTCCAGATGCTGAAGTCGCAACCATATTTGATTTATGTCAAAGTCCAGTGCATTAGTTCCGTTGCCAGCTTCTGCCAAATCCTGAGCTTTCTTATGCATCTTAGGATCATTTAAATCACTATTTAAGAAGCTAGGGTCCACTATGATTTTGTCATAAGAAGCAATAATATCACCAGCTGTAAGGCACAAGTGTGGCAATGCTAGTCAGTCCAGTTGACCCAACCATGACTAGGATGCATTCTGAGACAATCCTAGAGTTTTTGCACCAAAAGATCTTCAATACTAACAACAGTTAAATATGGTTTAACCTTAACAAAAATCTGAACCCTAAATCAATTCATATGTGCCAATTTCACTTATTTAAAATAAAAACCAGCCAAAAAGACATTCAGATAATAATTGCTTGTCATGAGTTTTAAGAGTAAGCTTTCCTTATATCATAATCAAGAACCGTTAAAATTGAACCTTTAATTGATCTAAAATACATATTTTGGAAGATCATTTGCTGATCTAATATTGAGATAACATTGATACAACAAAGAAATTAACAGCATAAGCATAAGCATACAAAAATGTGCCACATTCAGATTAGAAATATATATTGTTAAAATGAATTTTTGGTTTTAGGGTTGATTAGACTTGTTCCAAGTGAGCAAAGAAGAATCTTTCATTTTCTTTATCTAAACAAGGAACATCATCACAAGGTTGCAAAAGAGTTAAATTAGAAGACCGATTATGGATCTTGCCTAACTAAGGAATGCATGATACCCTAAAACAGTAGTAGTTACTGAAAGAATCAAATTCATATGAAACCAGAAATCTGAGAGGAGTGAATGAAAAATTATATGTATATCCTTTTACTCCATTTAAGACATATTAATATAAATCAGGCAGGATATAATGTGTGCGATGATACATCTTATCTAGCTATAGAATCCACAAAACCTTATAGAAGTAGTAATCACTGAGAGTTTAAATTCATACAAAAACAGAAAACCTAGATGAGTGAATGAAAACTCAAATAGTTGTTAAATACTTGTTTTGGTAGATAATACATGGGATTTTCTGTTAAATAGTTGTTTTTGTAGAACTATCCCTTATCTTTTTCATATCCATTTTTTTGTCTAATATTTACTACATCTGCCTAACTTCTACCTCTCTTCTCCCTATTGACATACCAAACATAGCTCGGGTTTCCTTATTCAAACCAAAAGCAGCCATTTTGATGTTCATTTCAACAGTCAGGTCTTGTTGCTGCCTATAAAGATAAATCAACCTATAACAATCTTTGGCTACTACAACAGCAAATCGTTATTTGTTGAGTTTTTTCTTCAAGTCTGGGTCACGATTCTTTGTGGCAGCAATATCTAGAATTCAAAGTGAACCATGCCAACAGCCAGCTGCATTACATCAACATATAAGAAAGTGCAGTTTAGTTCTTAACATGTATACTAATTCATCATAGTTGGCTCGATAAATTTGAATTCACTTGCATTGATTATGTAGAAAAAATAACATTGAGAATTCCAACAATTATACCATATCAACAAGAAAATATGAGTCTAATAAAAGCCAAATCCATGCAGATATTGAAGCATAAGCTGTAGAACTTAAACAGAACAACAACAATGAATCAATAGAACTTTGCATAACAATTTCAAAGCCTGATTAGGTTATGCTGCATTTTACAATATTATTTAGAACTAGTTGCACAACAAACTAAATTAAAGTTGGCATAAACATATACTGCATAGTCCAAGCATGCACAAGAATCCTAATTGTGCCACTTGTGCTCACTATATGGACCACAAGAAATGGCAAGTATTGAACATGACCACACAAAGAGTAGAATAAAACTCTGGATTATGTTCGTTAGTGTTGTATTGTGTGTGTTCAATACTTTTACAAGGAATGATGTCGAGGCATCCTTATTTGGTATTCTTGCTAGATCTTCAAATCAAAAAGGACAGAACCAAAAATTATTTTCGGACATTACTAGCATAACATCTCAAGCTATGAGACTGAATAATAGGATACCGGGACATCATGGTTTCTGATGCACTGTGCTACTAGTTATTTAAGACAATGCAAAAAAGCAACATTGTTCCCAGATATTCAACTGGCTGTGCACAATAAGCAAAAGCAACTATTGAAATGCTGGTACTTTGTTACTGCAGCCCTTTCCTTATCTAAGATTTGACAACATCAAATTGAAGGAACAATATTAATGATGCTGATGCATCAAGCAAACGTATCTCTTTTCAGATATTGTTAGATAAAGAGATTAACCATAACCAGAATAAGGATGATTATCAGGCAAGGTAATCTCCTCCTAAATTATATTCATGTAGGAGATGACATAACAACGTATAACCATTATTTCCTAAATAATGACTAAATTATTTGTGTTTCATATAACTGGTAGTAAGGTCAATGGCAGTGTAAGTTCTCCTTTTCGGGTCTTAGACCAATGATCTCAGGCTAGGGTTGCGATAATAAGTATGACATAAGAAGCCAAAGAACTGACAGCCGAAATTCATGGCAAACAAATTGATAGGTCCCATCTCAATCCAACAAAAGAAACTCACCTGTCTCTCTTAGGAAATGTTTATTGCTCCTCGGTGATGCCCAACCAGTCTCTTTCTTACCTATAGATAGAAACAAATTCCTTTCTCTTTCAAGCCTGCTCAAAATTCCTTCAATCCCTCCACCAGTCCCCACACTCTCCCTTTCCCTTCACAAAATTAAACGAGCCAGATGATTAAACCATAACACGCAACAAGAAAACAGAATAAAAATCATATCGATGGCATCCGCTCACATCAATCTCCCTGAAGTGAAGGCCATAAGAGGATCATCTTCAGAATCAAGAACATCGTTGGTAACGACAACATTCCCGCAAGAATTGTCAAAGAATCGTTCTTGTGATACTCTGCTATCTTCTAGAATCGCCCGGCCGTCAGATTCCAACTCTGTCGATCCCAGAGCATTAGTATCACTGTCGACGGTATTCTTGTCCTTGGAATCCCATCCGAAGGTGAGCCAGTCACCACGTATGGTGATGGCCTCGACGAGATCATACCTCCCCGCTGCAATCAGCTCCACTCTGGTGGGAAAATCATTAGGATTTCCGGACTTGTGCATGAACTCGTGAATCTGGGCCTCCAAATCCGCTCCTGCATCCATCATCCCAGACACATCCTCTTCCCTCGTCGCCCTTCTCCTCGACCTCCGCGATGGACGGGAAAACCTTACGAAGGGGTCGTTGGCGTGAAACGGAGATGGGGAGAGGGGTGCATGTGCTCTCCGAGGCGGCGACAAGGCAGGGTAGCGGAGGAGGAATGAGAGAAGAGGAGGTGAGCGGCGGAGGCAGCTATGGCGCGAGGCACAGAAGGAGGAGGAGGAGGAGAGAAGGACGAGAGAGGGATTCGGGAGTGGGAGGCAAGTCATTTTTGAGGCATTTCGTCGAACGATTCGTGGGACTTGCAGGTAAGCTCATGAAGGAGCAAAACGGTTCTGTCGCATTTCTTGTTCTCAGTGGAAGCGACGCAGGAAAGGGTAAAAGGCGCTTGATTTATATGCGAAAGTGTGGGGGGCGTGGGGAGCGTGGGAGGGGAACCGAAAGCCATTCGCTAGGAGGGGAAGCGCTTCTCTGTTGCTTGGATCCGCTCATCGCATAAGTTTTAGGTAACACGTTACATGATTTATGTAACATTAGTGGTTAGCTAGTTTCAAATGCAGCATTTATTTACATGACTAATTAGCTAGAGATTCGTCAACAAACTAGAATTGTGTTTATAGCTAAATTATGGAAGTTATAAATTTTAGATCCTCTATTGATTTGATAATAGATAATCCATTTTAGTTTAAGAAGATAAAGATAACAATTCGATCACATCTTTTCAAATTTTTCTCTTATCGTAGAAAACTGCTTTGGATTCAAAGAGATATGGATTTCGACATGTTTTTATTTTTAAATAAATGATGACGGTGATACTGTATTCAACATATCTTATAATAAATTATGAGATTTTAAATCTTCCATCTTTTAATAAATGAGTTTAGTGCATCACCATTATATTAATATTTTAAATATAATAATATTTCGAACTCTTAATCCTTCATAAGTAGGACTTATATCTCACCATCAAATTAATATTTAATATGTAAAATTACATCGGACTAGATTCGAACCATCAACTCTTTGGTAAGTCAATAGAATATATTATCTAATTTTTTAGGTGTAAAAGTATAAGAGATAATATTTTTAACCCTTAACCTTTTAGTAACCAGGTCTGGTTAAAAATATATCGGATGAGATTTCAAAACTTAAATATTTTATAAACGAGTCGGAATGTCTAATATGTAAAAAACAAAGTAAAAGAAGTCGTGTCCTAACATGATATCATAAATACAACTATGTGATATGTCAACTAAGTCATATCCACCGTAACAAATCTACTCACTATTCATGATCCCAATTATGATGAATTTTAAATTATATATGAAAGGATTTAGAAAATTTAAATTTAAATATTAAAAATAAATTATTTAAATATTAAAAATCACATTTATGATCAAGTTTTATATGAAATATATATTATATATTTCTCTTGAATAATATTTTTATTTAAAATTTTTAGCGGTCCATAATTTAATGTTTTTTCATTCTTGTGAATTGTATATGGTTTTAACTTGCATGTAACTAATATATAATTATGCTTGTCATACCAACATGATAAAAAAAATTTTGATCATGATAGCAAGATCATGTGATCAAATCTCATCTTTGACATTTATCCCTAAGATAAAATATATAAATAAGATAATTATATGTTAATTAATTAATTAATTATAAGATGCACAATGTAATAATAATAATTGATATATTTAACTATGATTAAATCCTAAAACTTTGATGGTATAAAAATGATGGAAACACAATTAAGTCTAGATTTAGCTATAAGGTAGCTATTAAGGACTTGGCCTAACTATGTAGTCTAGTGATCAAGGGACTACCCTACCCTAGTGGGATTGACACGAAAAAGAATCCTCTGAAATCAAGTTGGAGGCACTTACTTTCGTGCGAGTGCAACTTTCAAGTGTTTCAGTGCCTGTGACTAAGTCATCATTGCAAGTGAACTTCCCATTTGATCGCATTTGTAGGGTCGATTGTAAGTCGAAGTTGGATTGGAATAGGGTGACACAATGCCCTCTCATCTCCTCTTAATACGTATACTTCCTCTTTTATCTTAGTTGCAATTTGCACATGTATACATTGAAATCGTTGTACATGTAATTGTAGTCTACAGTATTTAGTTTTGCCTACAACTACTAGTCACAAGCATATGCAAGACGAAGACGAAGACGAAGACGAAGACGCATCTTTGGGAGTCGATTTCCAGCCTTCACACATGCCATGTGCGACATGAAATGTCATGCACATGCACCCAAGTCTAGCATAACTCTAACTCGCTAGTCTTTTCGAGTACTCCACATGTGGATGATGAGATACATATGCCTACATGGAAGCACGCTGATCTGTAGTGTTGGCTTTCTCCAAATACTATACTCTCTACCCCATTATAGATGAGGTGGCGTCTCTCACAAGCCTCAGTCGTGGAGCCCATGAGATGAGAGAGCCATCTCACGTAGATAAATTTTGGTAGGATCTTTTGGTACGTTTACCTCTGTTCCTTTTAGCCAATCAAGATACTCTCACTTGCCACAATCTCCAGTGTAGCTTATATAATGTCCTTCGCCAAAGAAAAGCGTGATAAAATCTTAAGTAATAACAAATTGCAACGTTTTGCATGCATTCACTGGTCTGAATCCATCGAGCGAAAAGGCTTAGGCCTGCATCGAACGGTGACATCATGATTGATGCATTCTAGTTTTCCTGTGAGGAGACACCATGATCGATCCATTCTAAAAGTAGCACTAGTCCCTCACCAAACCTTGCTTTCTAGCCTTAAAGTCTGAGAGCTGGTGTATCCGGATTGATTATATTAACATGGAGGGCGGTGCTGAACTCACTTTCCAAGTGTGCATTGCATCATATGGGGCATCCATGTACAGTCTATCCCAGCAGGGTGGCCCTGGGAAAAGGAAGAAGGATGAAGGTTTTCATGGGGAAGACGAAGCACAGGCATCCCTCAGCGACCAAGAAGAGCAGGCACTCGCAGCGGTGCGGGTCCGGCTTGTGCTGCAGCTCCTGCCGGCTCAGCGTCTCCTCTTCCTCCTCCGAGGGCGTCAACACCTCCGACGACTCCGAGCAACTCCACTCCTTGTCCAACCTCGCGCATGGCATGGTGCAGGCGAGACTGCAGCAGATGATCAACCAGTGGGAGCCTCCTCGCAGAAGAAGGCATATGGTTGGCGAAAGAAGTAGCGGTGGCTGCGTCGTCTTGATAGCCATGGATAAGAGGTCTTATGACCCCAAGGGAGATTTCAAGATGTCCATACAGGAGGTCATCAAGTCCAAGAGGATGGAGGAGCCAAGAGAGCTGCGGAGCCTCTTGAACTGCTACATGTCAGTGAACTCCCCAGAGCATCGCCAGGTTATTCTTGAAGCCTTCCACGAGGTGTGCTGCACACTCTTTCACTGTAGTAGGGAGTACTAGAGCACGAGTAACTGTAAAGAATCTTGTAGCTATCGTTCAATTTAATCCTTTTCAAGTAGCTGTAATGCGTGTCGAAGACCGCCGATAGTAGCGGCATCCGTTTCTTTTCTCAGCATCATCATCACCATGGTAGCAGCTTCGTCTATGTGAGAATTACTGATGTGGGTTCGAACGAGCCAAGCACTTGTAGACCGGATCAATTCCTGTGTCTCTCAACCAAAAGACCCGGCAGGCCTGTACGTGACGAGGAAGTCGCTGCATGCCCGCGTGTTTCCCGGCCATGTCCGAAGCAGTACACCGTTTCCTCAGCCTGTCAACGCCACAACACTCGGAGCAACCGGTGCTGGGCCCCTCGAGGTTCCGTCCCCAATTGGGTTGGCTATGATCCGATGTCGATCCAATCAATAAGAATTGGACGGACGGGATCGTGTGAATCGAGATGCCTTTACCGCCTTATTTAACGGCTTTATAACTACCTTGCCAAGATTAGCCGGTGCGTCCCGCCATCCTCGCCCCGCATTATTCGGATTATTAATTTTGATTCGGAAATTATTCCAGTAACATCGCATTTTGCCTATATATTGAGAAGACGGGAGACGGAGTTGTCTCCGTGTCGGCTGCAAGAGAGGGAGGGGCGAAACCACGCGAGGGCAAACTACACATTTCTTGACCATCCGATTCGTTCGCTTTGGGGTTTTCTTTCCAGCACAGCATAAAAAAAGGTGAGAGGAGAGGAGAAGAGAGGAGCGCAAAGAAGGGGAATCGATGGGCTACGATTCGATGGCCAACGTTGGTGCTGTTCCTTCGATGGTCTCCGGCAAGAAGAGGAGGGTGCGCGAGCGATCCTCTTTTGATGCAAATCGAATGATTCGTATTAATTAGTCGTTGGCACTAATGGATTGGAATCATTTTTTGTTTTTAGGGGAATCGATCGGCGAAGCTTAAGCAATGCAAACTCGACGCCCGTCGTGAGCAATGGCTCTCCCAAGGTCCATCCTTATCTTTCTTTTTTCGCTCTGCTCTTCTGTGTTTATATTCATTCTTGGGGAACCGATTAAAGATGTGATTTTTACGTGTGATTTTTCTTTCTACCATAAAAAAGGCTTGTATTTTTTTTTTTTTTTAGTTAATGGTGGTAAGGATGATTGCAAGGTCACAAGACTGGCCACCTCTCTACATCTGCTCCATCCACTCCGGGCTCCGACGGGCAAGATCGACTCGAAGACGAAGGCAGGTGAAGATGAGCGAG